GCACTCTACACCTTGGAGCCCTTACTTTGAGCTTTCTAAACACCAAGCCAATCTTGACATGATGGACAGGTACACCTGGAAGGAGGAGCCACGAGAAACTTGGGTCGCAAGCAACGGCTAGATTGGGTGTATATGTTTGAGGCCTTTAGGTTCATGGTTTCGGATTTAGAGGGTTGGGCTCATGGATCTGTCTTTCAGCCTCACGGTTTAGGTTATGCAGTTTAGGGCTTTGAGATGCGGACTGCGTAATTTATGTCCACAAGAAAATAGTTATCACCAGTGCGTTATGAGGGTGCGAGCCTTAGAGTCTGCAATTCCGCTTCGTGCTACGAATTCCTAAGCCCTACAAACCCTAAACCCCTGAACCCTAAATAGTACTTTCCATGTAATTTTTCCATTATCCCAACCACTAAAGCCTAAACCCAAACCTTGTGCAGGCTCAGGGTTAGTTTCGCTGGTTATCACAGGCCCCGTCCGAGCCGGAATCTACTTATAACAGGGATCATGTTATTTATCCGGGGACGCTTATTCTTAAAAATGCCCCTAATGGTTTAGGGTTAAGGGTTACCTCAACCCCAGAAGTATGTAGAATAACAGCCCTTTGGGCTGGTTTAAGCGTGTTGGGCTATCATTTTACCTACTTGTGGGGTCCAGGTAGGGTTTTTCTCAGAGGCTGAGCTACCCTTAGGCACGCAAGACTTAGCCCTAAACCCCAAACCCTAAACCCTAAACCCCAAACCCTAAGCCCTAAACCCTAAACCCTAAACCCCAAACCCTAAACCCTAAACCCCAAACCCCTAAACTCAAGAGATAGGTCATAGCAGCTCCAGGAGGAGGTTCAGGGTCAGTATAAGAAGGGTTTAGGGTTTAGGGTTTAGGGTTTGGGGTTTAGGGTTTAAGGGTTTAGGGTTTAGGGGTTTAGGGTTTAGGGTACCCAATGAATCAAGGGTTTCAGGCTTGTACCCCTGGCGTTGTACCCCTGGGTTTTGGGATCCTTTTAAGGGACCCTAGAGGATTACATTACATCAGACAAGGGCTAAACCCTAAACCCTAAGCCCACATTGGGGAAACCTTTTTAGGGGTACGACATTAGGGTGACAACCCTGGAAACCTCGAATCAAAATTGCTACGTATAACCCAAATACAATGAGCCTTATTAAGGGACTACCACGGGTTAAATTTGGGTTTTAGGGTTTAGGTTTTAGGGTTTAGGGGTTTTGGGGTTTAGGGTTATATTTGGGGTTATAAGTACATTGGAAACTTTCGAGAATGACCCGCTGCAGGGACTGTTTCGCACAACTGCCCTTTGAAGCCAGGACATCTACCCACGTGCTCCTATGTACTTCCCGTTTAATTAGGTTTGTGTTTTTTTGGGTCAGGATTTCGGTATAAACCCTAAACCCTAAACCCTACACTGTGTGATAGGAGCCCGCTAATCAACCATTCACTCCTCCCCTTTGTCTTATTCTTACAGGTTCTTAGCACATAATATCGGGTTTGGGGTTAGTAGGGAAAAGGGAATCAAGCCCCTACATAAAACCATCATGATATATTCTCTTATTCCATACCAAGAACGCTCCGTCGGTCTGTAAATGCGCGCCGTGAACAGGCGCCAAACCATGCGGTTGCTGAAAAACCTGGCAGGCGTGGGTGACGCAGCACTGCAGCAAAGTCAACAAGGTTTTCTTCGGAGGGTGCGGAACCT